TGAATTAAGTAACTGGGCATCCAGTCGCCTGGCAGACTATGAATTTAAAACTCGCTCTACTTTAGCTGATCTAATTTGGGACAGTCTTCCTAATAATAATAATAAGCCCATGGGTACCCGCGGGTTTTGCGGGCCGGGCTAGGGCATCAAATTTTGAGCCCTAGGGTAGGGGTAAGGGCTCGGAAATCAAGCCCTTACACAGACGTGTAGGCCATTACCCGGCCCTACCCGGCTCATGCGGAGGCCTACTGCCGGATAACCTTTTTTTATCTTAAGTCAATTTTCTTTTCATTTATTATAAAACGGAATTTATATTCATGTTGTATATAAAATTTTTCAACGCAATTCTATAATATTTAAATTAGGTTGGTATTTTTAAATTCTTTAATAATTTTATAATTCATAACAATTCAGAGTTTATTTAATAATTACGTAGTAACGAAGATCTAATAAACGCATAATATCTGTTGAAAAGTTTTTCAATGTATCATTAGTTACATTAAGAATAATAGCCAACTTCTGAATATTTCAAAAAAGGATACGAAAAATCCGAATTCCTATCGATAGGCAGGTTTACGTTTTATCTATTTCACCAAAATTTCTCATCAACCAACGAATATTCAGAAAGAAAATACGATCAACCTGAACGAAGAGATGTAAAAGGATAAATTGCAAAAGAGTACATAATTTATCGAAAAACGACACAGAAAACAAGCCAAACGGTTAAAAAAGAAATAAACTATTTTATTTATATTAAAGGATCATCATCCGAACCCAACCTGGTACACATTTTCTGAGTGCCGGCAGATTTGGGATTACATCATTCGTGTAATGAATATCCGCGTAATCTAAGTTTTTCTTTTGGCTGGCTTGTGCTAACCAATTAAACTAATTAAAAACATGTGACAACTAGTCGCAACTACTATAAAACTTATTTATGAAAATTAAGTGAATCAATATATATATATAGTAAATAAAAAATCCGCATGACAATAAATTGCTGATTTTTCAAAAAGAAATTGTATTTTTAAAAATTGAGTTATAAAAATATAAATTTGGTGTGGCCCAATCTAACTACGTAACTGCTAATAATTATAACAATAATAAAAAGGTAATAGTTAAATGTTGTGATTTATAAAGGTAATAGTTAATTGTTTGTGATTTATAAATACTAAAGGTAATAGCTAAAGTGGTGTGATTTATAAATATATACTAAAGATAATAGTTTAAATGTGATTTATAAGTACTAAAGGTAATGGTTAAACGTTGTATTATTTATAGGTACTAAGGTAACAGTTAAATGTTGTTTGATTTATAAGTACTAAAGGTAATAGTTAAATGTTGTGTGATTTATATATTAAAGGTTATATATAGAGTGATTTTTCATAATAACAGTTAAATGTTGGGTGATTTCATAAAAAAAAAAAAAAAGCGACATGTGTATCAACGCTTTTACGGCGATGTTGAAACTAAGTAGCAATAATACGTGTATTTCTTCTAGTTTCAACTTTAATCTTATTGGCTTTCTCAATCAAATGTTTTCCAAGGATAGGATCCGGTTTTTGATAATATTTTCCCCTTAACACAATCTTTCCCCATTGTTCCAATGCAGAATAATGATCCTGCTTTGCCGCTTTTTCTAAATATCTCATCGCGGTCACGTATCTATCTCCTTCCTCAAATACAACAGGTTTATTCAGCAAAGCTAACGCGTACTGATATTGTGCTTCCGGATGTTGTAGTTCTGCTGCTTTTTTAAGGTATTTCAAGCCTCTTTGAACTTCTGGTTTAACATCTCCATATCCTTTAAGTAAATAAACACCCATCCATAAATTTGTATTTGGATCATCTTGTCTGAGATTATAACACTTTTGAAATATATCCCACGCATCATTGTATTTCTTGTTATTATGAAGTTCAATACCTTTTTCTATATAATCATAGGATGGAGTGGCTGGGGAGGTTGGAGTAATTGGAATGGTTGAAGAAGTTGAAGAAGTTATTATACGTCGATTGGACGGACGTCTTAATATTGCTAGATCTAGATTTGCAATTTTATCAGAATCGTCATCGGTATCCTGACCAGAAGAATTTACTAGTTTATTCAGACGATCAAGGATTGATCTAATATCATGACGTTGAGAAGGATCTTGAGACCATGATTTTTCAATAATTTTTTGATATTCGCTATCCTTTGATGTAAGTTCAGGACGTTTTTCATCAAGTATTTGAAGTTTGATTTCTTCCTCCATTAAGGTATTAAAGGGTAATTGTTGATATTCAATCGCCCACATGACTAAAGCGAAACTTTTAAATATAATATAATTATTATCGTTTACTAAAATTAAGAATTAAAATGTCCGCTCAATTTTAACAATTACCTGTATACTTCGCTCGCTTTAGCGTAGTTTTCACCGCGAATTCTCTCTGGTGAACTCCACCTAAAAAAGAAACAAAGCAAATAGGAAAGAATAAGGTATATGTATATCCTGAATGAAGACCCGAATTAAGGGATAAATTACCTTAACATATAATTTGGTATGGAAGATGTTGAAGTTTCTTCATTAATTCGGAAATTATATAGTTTAGGTTGTAAATATTTATCCAGCAATATATTAGAGCTAATTATAAATTTATATAATTTTAATTAATAATTAATATATATTATGTGATATGATATGATGTGCGATTGACATTATTATAAATATATGTATGTACTAACGTTCTGATATCACGATGTAAAATATCCCTCTCGTGACAATAATTCAGTGCATTAGCAATTCCACGAGCAATTAAGAGTTTGTCAGCTGGAGATAAATTAGAATCTGCGCGATGTTCAGTAAGGTAAGTTTGCAAGTTATAATCTACCCATCTTGTAACTACAAAAAGGTTATCGGATCGACGACAATATCCATAACTTTGAAGAAAAAAAAAAAATTATTGAAAAATTATTGAAAAATAAAAAAACAAATTAAATAAATTTGAACTTACAACTCAAGAATATTTGGACATTCACGAAGATCTTTCATAAATTTAATTTCTTTTTTTAATTCTTCCAAACGATCATCGTTATCTTGACCAACATTCTTTTCAGCAACTCTAATAGACTTTTTATAAATTCGTTCAAATATATGATCTTTACTTCCTCTAACAGATTTAACCTCCGAAAGATCGTTTTCTGTAATCTTATTTTTACTTTCAAATCGTTTCTTAGGAATTGAAAGAAATCTGACAAGGGACAAAGTTCTACTTCTAATTAGTTTCCAACCTTTCTGGGTAGATCCCCAATTGTTGATTGCTAATTTCAATTTATCAATTGCTTTAATTGTTTCATCTATTTGACGGCCAATTCTTTCATGAACCTATTTGTTAAATAATTTATCAGAAGATTATAAAAGACATCATAAAAAGTGCATAGGCACTGTTCAATAGAAAGGGGGGAATGGACCTTTTATCATGACAATGATGCAATCTGAATTCAGAAGTTCAAAGTTCAGGTTGCATCGATCAATATTGTGATCCAGACTGTATGTTGCTGAATCTGATAAGTAATAACGGTAGACTTGAAATCACGATGACAAGTTTTCCCCGGGGAATAAAATATAAACGCATTTTACTAGCAATTCGTATAACGATAAATACTGCAATAATATGAATATTTAAACTATATATACAGCATTATCGTTATTAACGATCTTTAAACAATGGATATCAGCGAGTAAATTGCCGTTGGTATTTTATTCCTTGGTTTTTCTTTTTTCTATTGAAGAACGTCCATATATCAAAAATGATTATATAACTATTACATACCTCAATCTCGGTATCACTAATAAAAACTCCAATCGTCCAAAGACAATTTTCAAAATTTTCAAAATCCTCGGACTCTTCGACGAATCTTTGAAATCTAGGATTTACTTTATCCTCATCCGAGCCTTTGAACAACAATTTTTTGATTTCATCCAACAATTCTTCACCTTCTTTAATTACATTCAATCCCTTTTCAGACAAATCTTCATGTTTCAAATCTTTGAACACTTGTTTAGCAACAGAGAAAGAATTTGTTATAATTGAGAGATTCCTCGAACATTTATCCGATAGTGAGTCATCTAAAAGGTAACTATCTCGTTTATTTAAAAAAGGTATATTTTTATTAGTTGGAAAAGTGGGTGATTTTGCATCTATAGGTGATTCTACATATGAATTATGATCTGGTTCAGAAGACATTTTTATTTGAAATTAGAAAAAAAAAAAGTTATTAAGGTTTGTAAATTTATCCCAAAGATACAATCAGATTTTGAACAAATGCTAGAATTTCAGACGACATTTATATATTGGAAAGATTTATAATATTTTTACTGTTATATACTAATTTATATTGAATGGAAAACCACTATAGGAGGACCCATAAATGGTATGTACTGCGTTTTTGTGCAGAAATATTTACGGGATGACTTTATATTTCTTAACTAAGTTATGTACAACAGTGATGATTAGGATAAATTAAAATGAGAAAAATGAATCTATCTCGCGTACGTACGTACGTACGTACGTAAGTTAATTAATCTTTACGAACGTACATATGAATGTAAAATTTTCTCAAATGTGGGAAAAACTTATTTTTAAAATTAAATTTTTTTGCATAATTTTATATGCAATTTGATCTATCAATCTTCTGTGTTTAATTAATAGCGAAGTCGAGGCACATAAGGTGCAGAATGCAATGTTGTCACGTGACATCTTTTGGCATTTATTCAAAATTATATTATCGTTGTATTATCGTTATTAATAACCATGTTTAGAATAAAGTTGAATAAAAATCACGCAATTTCTTTATAAATATAATATTTAAGTGTTGGAAACTCCAATTATAGATATATTCTTTCTTGGTTTAGGTTCATGTATAAATACTGTGCATACATATAAAACTTTTTGGCTAAACATATATATATCAGATATGTATATATAAGATATACGTAGTATCGGTATTCTTGTTTACCAAAAGCTACTATTGCTATGATCAGATTTTATAGCTTTAATAAGCACTAATTTTACTGATTTATTTTGATAGAAAGTTCTTTGAAAAAACTATTTCGGGAAATTACGCTCGATTTTTTTGTGAAAGTGCTAACCAAGTTTTAATGGTATATATATATTATATAATATAATACTGTTACTGTATATACTATATATTAAACTTATATAAAACTCTATTTTTTGATATATACTTTACAATTTGAATCATCTTAATATGGATGATAATAATACCATACATCTAATTAAAGAATTAGGTAGTAGTGATCTCTGATACAGTATATCGATATGCACGTACACATACTTACATAGGTAATTACAGAATTAGGGATCTGCGCCTAACAAAGGGCACAGGCACGGGCATGGGCGAAGATGTAAAATACCTGGCTTAAAGTTGCTGGGCACTTTATAAGGGAATAAACCAAAACCAATTTCGCAAACAACTTTTCGCCGACAAAGTTGGCCTGGTTTAGGTTAGGATTTGCCTGATTCATAGTTAGTGTTGGCGAAAACGGAATTTACCAGAGCCCCTTGTAGGCGCAGGTACATAGTTCCAGGCATATGTTGGGCACTAGGGCGCAAGATGTCTTGAACTTTACATGCTTGCCTACACTTTCGCGCCCATGGGTATAGGCAATCTCTTAGGCACTAGTGCAGTAGTGCCAGGCATGAGCATTTGCAGATTACTTTACTACAAAAATGCAGTTTCATAATATCTAATTCAGTACAATGAATCATTGACTCATTTTAACACTTAATATTGAAGTATTTATAAATGCTTCACTTACTATGCTTTTTACTGTAATTTTAAGTAATCCAAACATATATACCGTAAATAATAAATTTGGGGTTGAAATTATTATGCTGTGTCTCTAATTTTAAATTTCTTAGTTAAATTGGTATTTCAGGGTGGAGTTTATTTTATATAAACACTATACCTTAATCCTAAAATTCTAAGTAACTCTAAATCCCGTTCCCACTTACAGCGTATAATTTATTAATTGAACATTTCTTATTTCTTATAAATTCATTTAAATTTAGATTAAAGTTAGATTAAAGTTGGATTAAGATTAAAGTTAAGGTTTGTTTTAAAAAAAAAGATATTTCATAATAAAAACAAGTCCTTACATTATCAACCGCACGGAGCTTCAAAATAAAAAAAATATGCAATATTATTTAAATACAAATCAGCTATATCATGTGTAAAAATTCAGAAATTTTAATATTTTAGTAATTAGAAAATATAAAAAAATGCATATTTTTAGTAAATCAATTGTGAATATAAAGGTATAAATAAAATAATTATTAAGGATAAATTCAAAAGTGGTACTGAAAGTCAAAAAAGTTACTGAAAATAAACATTTTATAGCTATTCTATATCCAAAAAAAGAGTCGATGATTATTTAGAATATTTGATATGCTAAGATGTGATTATTGTAAGTTTTTTATTAGCTGTTTTGGAATTTATGAATCAATACTGATTCCTATGTATCAAGAACCCTAAACTTAAC